ATCTGCAAAATCTCCTATAAGAAAAACCCATGACTCCTGAATCATAACTTTCTTACCTTTAGTCTAACCAGGGAGCTTTCATTTAATGAATGCAGATTAGACCACTACAATGTATTTTGAAAATAAAATTCTCCATGCAAAAGACCAGGCCACCTAGACAAGATATAATTCTGATGAATCACAGTGGAATTTAATGTAATCTGAAATGAATGACTCAGATATTTCTCCCTGTTGCTCAAACAAGCAACAGGTGATAGAAAGAACATGAGGTCTTGGTAAGAAACCCCGTCAGGACAACTGGACTGCATATCCTCCTCTTACTAAAAGTCATTGAATCTTTCTGAGCCTCACTTTCTAGAGAGTGCCACAGGGAAACGATGCCTACCTCCCTCACGCAATCACCAAAGATCCAGCATAACCCTGTACATCAACACACCCATTGCAATATTAGCAACAATATTTTGTTCATACATAACTACAGTGGGGGAGGGTCCTTGGAATTCAAATATGTATCTAATTCCCAAGTTATACGTAATGGTCCTTCTATGGACAATGGGCTCCTATTGTAATGATCTGGGGGTCGATATGCACTTATTGTAGCTAAAACAAAAATCTCTCAAAGGGCACAATGCAGCGTATAATGGAGGTGGGACGGCCACAGCAGAAGAAGGCGTGGTGGCACCTCTTTAGGAGAGATACAGGCTTTGCAGCTCCTCACACGGCTAACATCGGCCTGTCGGGTCCTCGTGGCCCCATCAGGGTGCTCTGCTTTCCTCACGTGAGACGATGGTCTGCCGCTTGTGGACGTGCTCGTGTGTGAGCCGGCCTCCTGGCACCTTCTGGAATGCTCTCCTCTCACTGTGACGTGAGTGCTTGGCTTCTCTGTTAAGTCACTGTCTGTGCTTCTATTTGCTAAGATAAAGGCACAGTCCACCTTGGAGGGAATCTGTTGGCCGCTCGGGGATATAATGGTCACTGAGATGTAAACCATGGGACAGGAAAGGCTGACTTCAGAATGGTGACCCAGAACTCTGGTCACCAGACAAGGTACACCTGCCCCCCGCTTTTCACAAATGTATGATTTCAGCCAGATCCATTCAAGGAGTGGGCGGAGGCAGACCATATGGGGTGCTCTGGACTCAGACTGTGTTTCTCATGGTGGAGATGTTGTTATCGAGGCAGGAGCTCACATATGCTGATAGTGATTTTGGCATTAAAGTTACCAGTAAGGGAAATAGAATGTATTTGGGAAATGAGGACATGAAAACAGGAAGTTGACAGACACATGCCTTTCAGAGTCCTGTCTTACTGAATTAAACATAGCTCAGAGTTTGATCATGTAAAATGAGTGCTTGATCAGCAAAGCACCTGGCTAACCAGGGTCTTGGATCACGTATTTATGGGGGTGCGTCCTCCAACACAGACTTCCGTACAATAGAAAATCTTCAGTAGAAAATCTCGGTGAAGGAGTCCTAGATATCAGGCACCTAAAGGGATTTCTCAGGGAAGATACTTGTGCTTTGCTCAGAAACCGGGCAAGGCGTTGGTGCCTTCCTGCAGAGAACTAGTGGTCAGAATCACCGTGGAAGGTCCCTCACAGGGACCATCACTGTCTGGTCAGAGTGACTTGTTGGGACTGAGGATTCACGGGAGAGCCCATCTGAAAGGGGGTAAGTTATTACACTTCTGTGCCGAGAATCCTCAGTTAATTGGATGTATCAGTATTACAACGGAGCAGATAGTCTAACGATCGATCTCGTAACACTACACCGTGGCCAGACCCTTCTTTCGTGGTTCCAGTTGATTCCTTTACAGTTTACATAATAGATGATTCTAGAAGGTGCTTAGCTGGAAAGCTGGATGCTGAATATGAATTCTTAATGTAGGAGTCCATCAACTGATTATCTCTCAATGGGCATTTGCTTTCCAGAAATCACTTCCTTGAATACTTTAGATTTGGATCCAACGTCTGCTGAGTGGGAGACGCCAGGCACCACGCTAGGTGGGGCCTGCATTGTACGTGTGTGACTGTTCGTTCCATGGCTCCATCATACATCCAGTTATTATGCCCACTGACTTGAATTTTTCCAGAAAAATGTCACTAGTTTGGACCCGCTATCTCACTTTTTAAAAACAATTATGTTCTGGGCATTCAAGTGAGAACAGTAATTAAAAGCAAAACAAAACAAAAATCTCCACCTAGTCACACCCTAAAGCTAGTTCAGTAAGGCTCTACTTTCTCAAGATATGTCACTTTGTACTTTTAAAAGTAGATTATTTAAAATATGACCCTTAATAAGCTGAAAATGAAAGTTTAATTGTGGCAAACGAGGAGCACAGCCTAAAATCTGCTAAGACCCTCGGCTGAACGGTGCACATGTACATGCTCCCCCCACCTGAGTCCTTCAAGCAAGCACCGGAACCGCGGACATGGACGCCTGCCGCGGTCCCCACACAGACTGGGCAGCAGGAACGCAGGCCTGCGCCATGTTTATAAGATGCACAGTCAGATTACACACTGTTCACCAGCTTCAGCAGTTAATGATTTCGCCGCAGACTGCACACAATCAGTACAGCGTCCATAAGGAATTTGCCGAATTGGTCTATTTTCCAGTGTCCCACACGCTGTGTCACACGGAGCTACCGTCTGTGGTCCGTGGCACGCAGCCCCGGTCGTCAGGTCAGTGACACTGGGGTGCGGGCACAGTGGGGCTGGTGCTGCCGGCGTGTGTGTGTGTGCACGTGTGCGCGCCCCAATGCACCTGCCTGGACTGTCTCCATGCTGTGCTCTGTGATGCTACAACAGGAGCAACGGTCTGGGGGCCACACTGTAATGTGTGCCGTGCATGTGTGTGTGCGTGTGTGTGTGTGCATGTGTGTGTACGCACACAGGCACGTATGGACCTGTCCATATGGAAGCCACACTAATTGTGTGTGTGTGTGTGTGTGATGTGTGTGTGCGCACATGTATGCACACAGGCATGCACGGACCTGTCCATATGGGAGCCACACTGTAATGTAAGCATGTGTGTGCGCGCATGTGTGTGTGTGTGCGCGTGCATGTACGCACACAGGCACGTACAGACCAGTTCATCTGGGAGCCACACTGTAATGTGTGCGCACGTGTGTGTACGTGCATGTGTGTGTGTGTGTGTGTATGCGCGTGCATGTATGCACACAGGCATGTATGGATCTGTCCATATGGGAGCCACACTGTAATGTATGGGGTGTATATGTATGTGTGTGTAATGCGTGTGTGTGTGCACACGTATGCACACAGGCATATATGGACATGTCCGTGTGTCTATCTAAGTACATGTGACAGCTGAGGCCTATTTCATAAAATCCTGGGACAAACTTACTTCTGAAAGGAGCGTGAATTTCTGTCTGCCACACGGGGTTAGCGACAGCCAGCTCACGCCCACCCGGCCGAGGAAGCTCCCCGCTCTGGCCGCCCAGCGGTCCACCGTACCTAGAAATTTGCTTCCCTGGAATTCAGAGTTTTGAGGAGCTTTGAGAAGGCACCCCCCTTTACTTTTAAACACACTTGGCATTTCTCTGCAAACTCTAAACCAATAAAGACCGTATGCATCTACATTCTTCAGAAACACTTTTTTCTAGAAAAGAAATGAGTTTTATGAAATGATTATCTTTGATGTCATAGTTTTGTGTCTGACATGGACAGAAAATTGGATACAAAAGCAAAACCATCTTAAGTTTACAGCCCGAAACATGCTCAGTGCCCTGTGCGCTGTGCCTTCTATGGGTGTGTCTCCCTCACAGGGCTGGACACCTCAGGTCAGAAACACGGTCTCAGATACGAGGCATGTGGCAGATGGATGAACAATGTCAGTTCAGCCATATGCTTTCCTGCCCTGACCCGTGACCAGAGGGAAAGCTTCGGTGACCAGCAGACAAGACCGACTTCAGCAGCTGGTGCCCCAGAGGGTCTCGCAAAACTTCTAGCTGCTGGGAAGGCAAGCAGGCGCGCTTCCCGGCACTGTCCCCATGTGTTGGGAAGAGCATCCAAGAAGATGCCGGATGGGCTGGGTGCACTGCCCTAGGTTCCCGGATGACGAAGCCAAGATAAGGTAATCGAGCGTGCACACCATAAAGGCCGCAGCGCATTTCAGTGACGAGCAGTCTGAACCACAGCTTGAGAGAGTCAGCATCTACCATCGAGCAGGACGGAAAGGGATTCTTTAGAACCAGGGTAACGGCACGGCAGTGGTCATTCGTCTCAGGACTTGACCAGGCAGACTTAGCGAGTGAGTTCGGAGCACCTGCGCCCGCACCTGCATCCCTGCAGCTTCACCACATCTGTACCTGGGCCCACACTTGCATTTGCACCCGTGTCTGCACCTCCATCTGTTCCTGCACCTGCTCCTCACCTGTGCCTGTCCCTCACCTGCACCTGCATCTGTGACTTTACTTGCACCTGTCTGTGCCTGTACCTGCACCTGCACCTGTGTCTGCACCTACACCTGCTCCTGCACCTATGCCTGCACCTGCCCCTCACCTGCCCCTGCACCTGTGTCTGCCCCTGCACCTGTGTCTGTACCTGCACCTGTGTCTGCACCTACACCTGCTCCTGCACCTGTGTCTGCACCTACTCCTGCACCTCACCTGTGCCTGCACCTGCCCCTCACCTGCCCCTGCACCTGTGTCTGCACCTGCACCTGCACCTGTGTCTGCACCTGCTCCTGCACCTCACCTGTGCCTGCACCTGCCCCTCACCTGCCCCTGCACCTGTGTCTGCACCTGCACCTGTGTCTGCACCTGCTCCTGCACCTCACCTGTGCCTGCACCTGCCCCTCACCTGCACCTGCGCCTGCACCTGTGTCTGCACCTGCACCTGTGTCTGCACCTACATCTGCTCCTGCACCTGCACTTGCACCTGCGCCTGTGTCTGCACCTGCGCCTGCCCCTCCCCTGCGCCGGCCCTTCCCCAGTGACACGCTGGCCCGTCACGCCCGGCGCGTCACTACCGTCAGGATTACCGTTCTCGTCCTCGTCGTCGTCGTCGTCGTCGTCCTCCTCGTCCTCCTCGTCCTCGTCCTCCCCGTCCTCGTCCTCGTCGTCCTCCTCCTCCTCCAGCTCCTCCTCCTCCTCGCGGTCGCCCTCCTCGTCCTCCTCGTCCTCCTCGCGGCGCGCGTCCTCCTCCTCCGAGTCCTCCTCCTCCTCGTCCTCCTCCTTGTCCTCCGCGTCCTCCGAGCCCTCGCTCTCGTAGCACTCGTCCACCGAGGAGCTGTCGGCCTTCGCGGCGAACGCCTTCCGCTTGGGCGCCGGCTCCTGCGGCTGCTTGTCCTGCGTCTTCCGCTTCTTGGCCAACGGGCAGCCGTACACGCTGTGCGGACACAGGGAGAAGACGCGTCACTGGCGGGGCCCCGCTCGCGCTCCTGCGGCCGAGCGAGGGCGTCGGGGCTCCGGCCCCCCGCCGCGCGCGCGCCCCCGCCGCGCGCGCGCCCCCGCCGCAAACACGCCCCCGCCGCACGCGCGCCCCCGCCGCAAACACGCCCCCCCGCCGCACGCGCGCCCCCGCCGAAAACACGCCCCCCCGCCGAAAACACGCCCCCCCGCCGAAAACACGCCCCCCGTCGAAAACACGACCCCCCGCCGCACACGCGCCCCCGCCTCACGCGCCCCCGCCACACACGACCCCCCCGCGCCCCTTACCCCTCTACGCCCCCGCCCAGCCCCCGGTCCCGCCACCGCACGGGAACGCGCACCCACGGCGCTCGGGAGTCCACACACAAATCCCCTTCCTGAAACATCTTGCTGGACACGCAGTAGGTGTGCTGCGCGTGCGACAAGAAGAATCAGCTCGCGCGGTGTGTTAGCACACACCCTGTCTGTGAAACCTGAGGCGGGCGTGCTGTGACACAGCCCTGAGTGCACGGGGGTCTGTGGACGCCAGACACAGTGGTGCCTTGCGCACGAGGTGCCGCTGAGCGCAGCCGCGCGGCCTGACTCGCTCACACACGCGTCCGTCCCGACAGCACAGGACACGGCGTGCAGGCCCCGCCTAAACGCCGCAGAGGTCGGTCCAAACGCGGGCAAGACGCCCAGGCCGGCACCTTCGCCGGAAACGGCAGTTTTCCGACGCGACGTTGCGGATGACAGGCCTCGCCTTCCCGGAACCCCTGCGACGCCCTGCAGGGAACGGGGAGGGGGGGGGCATGGGTGCCGCCCGCGTCGGTCCAACTCGAGCCACCGCACGCCTCGGGGCACTCGGACCCGCTTAGTCTGGACCCGAGACGTGAGACACCTGTCCAGCCTCTCAGGGACCGCCCGGCCCGTGTTTACCTGGGGAGGGTCCTTGGGGGGCGGACGCCAGGCCCTGCCGCATTCCGGGGGCAGAGGCGCAGACACGCCTGGAGACCTGCTGGCACCTCGGCACAGTTTTACACACCGAACACCGGGCGTGCCGCGGGCACACGCGCAGCGAGGGGCTGTGGAGTGACAGCCGCCGCGTGATAAATGCTACAATGACGGCGTGACGGGGGCGCTACGTAGAGGGCCCGCGGGTCCAGCGAGCTACGGAGGGACGCGGCTGGGGCTGCGTCGGAAGGGGATCCACCAAGCTATGGAAGCACATTTCAGCCAAAACAGAGCCTTTGCCGGGCGCCTGGGGGCTCAGCCGGTTGAGCGTCCGACTTCGGCTCAGGTCGTGATCTCACAGTTCGTGGGTTCGAGCCCCGCGCCGGGCTCTGTGCTGACGGCTCAGAGCCTGGAGCTGCTTCAGATTCTGTGTCTCCCTCTCTCTCTGCCCCTCCCCCACTCATGCTTTGTTTCTCTCTCAAAAATAAATAAACATTAAAAAAAACCCAGAGACTGCAAAGACATGAACACAATAAAGAACATGATCTGTACAGAAAATGGAAATAAATACCAAACAGAGTCCCTGGGGGGACCGCAGGATCGTGGCGCGGAAGGTCTAGGAAGGGGCAGACTAGCCTGGACACCCATCCTGGAGGGGCTTGTACGGAAGGGGAAGGCGAGGCAGCCACTGTGCTGACCTGACGTCCCACGAGGGTCCTCAGAGCCACACACAGGTCCCTGATGGGTGCTGCCCCTCCCCCAACCAGGCTTGGGTCCGTAGTTGAGGGGAGGGACGAGCAGGTAGGACGCATCGTGTCTGGAAAATGATGTGTGTGGATCAGAGCGAGGGGTTGGACAGACATTCGACTTTGCACTTCTGGGTGCCCAGCCGTGAGTGTGCATCTTGCACGCTTGCTTCAGGGCCGGAAGGAAGGCATCTGTAAAGAGGCCAGTGCTCCGCACATACTTGGTACTCGGTGTCCGCTGTCAGACGGTCACGGTGATTTGCACCCTTACTCAGGAGCCGGGTGCTCAGCAAGCATGTCCCTCCGTGGTTTGGACACTCACTACTGTGCTTCGGTCACTGCCATCAACACTCCCCAGGCCATCTGGACCAACGGCAGGAGGGACAGGGAACGGCGATGAGCCTGTGTTCCCGAGAAAATGCTTGCTTGCTTCCCTGCTTGCTCGGGTGCGTCTCACACTCCGGGAAGGGTCACGCCGTTGGGCAGGTGCCCTGGAGCTCACTGGCACGTGCTGGCGCCTGGAATGTGTGACTGCGGCCAGTCCTGTCTCCAGCTTGAATGTCCCTTTCTTTCTTCATCTGAGAAGCGAGGGCCCCCGGCGATTGCCAAGCCTCGGCCTCCCCCCAGAACCCCAGCACCGTGGGGCACCTGCCTTTTGAAACTTAGCACCTCGCAGAATCATAATAATCAAAGCAAGAATAATCCTTAGTGTGGCAGAAGAAAACTGAAGAGAGCACGGATTGGTCTACGTAGCATTGCTAAGATGAAATACTCAGGGTTGTGAGCTTTCTCCTGCGGGACTCTTTCCACGGACGGGGGAGGCCGAGTCAGTGGCCTGAGGCACCCGGGGCGGCACCCTGGAGGCCCAGCCACCCCCACCTTGCCGCCCACCCCCTCGTGCCCAGCCAGGCTTCCTGGAGGCGGCGCTGCTCGGGGACTTACTCATGGGTCCAGCCTGTCCGTCCCCATGAAGGGTCGCCAGAACACGCACTTGCTCCTGCCGGGCCGGCCCACAACGTCCCAGGTCGTCAGGGCCGTGGTCACCTGCCCGTGACGGAGCCCTGCTCGGCATCCGCGCTCCCCGCACCGCAGGCGCTCACCGGAACAGGGCACCAGGCCTCCTCCAGGTGGGGTGGGCCGCCCTGGCCGGGCTTCGGGCTCCGCCCCCGGCTGTGCACGGACACCTGGCTGCCGGAGACTCCTGGCGCCCGCGTGCTGCTCGCACTTAGATGATAGGGCAGCAGCGTTCAGCGCGGGGAGGGCAGCCGCCGTCCGCACAACAGGCGCCGCAGCTGGGAACGGGCAGCTGGCCTGGGCTCCGGGCACACGGGCTCCGGGCACACGGGCCCCTGGGCTCCGGGAGGCCGTGTGTCTGGCCCAGAGGACACTGGGAAGGCTGGGGTCTGAGCTGTAGGTCAGGGTCTTGACCCCGAGGTGGAGGCGCCTGGCCCTCTGGACGGCCCCTCCTTGATGTCCGCCCACCTGCTCCTCCAGGTGCCTCCTAGTTTCCTGATGGGAACTGGGCCCCCGTCCCCGGCGCCCGCTGTGGGGTGGCCCTGCCGGGTGGCCACGCAGGGCAGCGGAGAAGAGAAAAGGAGGCAGAGTAGGCAAACCGCAGAGTATGGACGGCGGGCAGCGTGGGGGTGGCGGTCAGGGCAGAGTGAGAAGGACGGAGCCGGCGCGTTTGTGCCCTGTCTCCACCGGAGCCTCACCTAGCGTGTTCTGGTGTCAGCGTGTGACACGTGCCGCAGGCAGCCTACATGCCGTCAGGGAGGTGACGTGGAGGGAACGGCATGTCCAGAGCCCTGTGTCCCTGTCTCGGCTTTGTTAACACCTGGATGGGCTCCTGGGCTCTTGCCGGGCCTCAGTTTACCTGTCTGTGCAATGAAAGGATTGCCCGTCTGTTTGCCCTTCTAGGTTTTTATCATTCAAAATTCCTGAATGGTTTCCTCCTCGCTGTCCCCAGTGAAGCCCCCATCATCTGCTCATCTGCTTCTATTTACTTCCTTATGATACGGTTTCAAAACCATTTTGATTAAATTTCTGACTGTTGGAATTAGCTGGCCTCAAATGTCCAATTCACACGGCTCGATGCCCGAAGTCTTTTCCTCTGTCCATTACCGTGAACTGAGTCAAATCACACGCTTACTGCACACACATTCCGTTGCCCCTTTCCTGTCTGATCCGGTCCCACTGGCTGCCAGTGCCCACTTTCAACATGAGCGCCAAGTCCAAGCCCACGAGGAGGCCTCACTCACGCATCAGCGGCTCAGAGCGCGCTCAGGCGCACAGACGCCTCCCGGTCTAGGGGACCCGGTGGCTGGGGATGCTTTGGAGCTCACGCCTCCCTCCGCCCGGAGGGGAGGATCTGCACACACGGGAAGAGCGGGTGCTGCCTTCCTCTGCCCGGCAGGTCGCAGTGAGCGTGTCCACACCGTGTCGCACTCAGATTCACCTGGGCTCAGGCCTGTCAGCACACGCGAGCCCTTCTAAGAAGACGGCAGATCCCACGGTCCCGGAACGTCTCCAGGTTGTAGACACCAAGTGGAATACACAGTGGAGTCCTGGGAATGACTGGGGAGCTGGCGCGGGCGGAGGTGAGGCTCCAGCTAAATGAACGCGGCAGCTGCACGGCGGGCCCTCCCCCGTTCTCCCGCGCAGGAGGGTCCGAGCTCAGCCGACTGTGTGGGGTTCACGTTGTTGCTTTGGTCCCCAATTCTGTTCCTCAGTAGGACAGTGGGCCTCCACCAGCTGTGTCCGATGGCGGCCGGTGGTCAGGGAATACTGCTTGAATGAACAAACCATAGTCTCCTCCAATTATTAAAAATGAAAGTACTTATTGGGACACGGGCGGCTCAGTTGATTAAGTTTCTGACTCTTGATTTTAGCTCAGGTCATAGTCTCATGGTTGGTGAGACTGAATCCTGAGACAGGCTCTGCACTGGGTGTGGAACCTGCTTGGGCATCTCTCTCTCTCTGTCTGCCCCTCCTCTGCTCACCCTCTCTTCCTCTCGCCCTCTCTTCCTCTCTCTCTCGCTTCCTCTCTCTCTCTCAAAAGAAAAAAAATAAAAGCACTTATCATGGCCTGTGTGATTATGGGTTCTCCTTCATGACACTGAGAAAATGGCTTGTGTTTAATTGGTTGTTAGACTTTAGGGCTGCAGTGTCCAATTCAGTAGCTGGCAGTCATCTGTAGCTACTTAATTAACATTAAAGAAAAAATAATTACCTCCCCAGTCACACTGCTGGGACTGTAAGGGTCCAGTGGCCACAGGTGGGT